ATACCCACCCTTAGCCAACAATACCAACATCCAACAATGAACTTGCCAATAACCACAAGCAAACTCATATCCAAGCGTGACAACAACCGACAACAAAATCGATGATAAAGAAAAAGAGAAGTAGGGAGAAATTTTTTTTGATGAAATCAACTTGTGCATCTTTCATAAAATAGATTGATGAAATACTTGATTAGATTAACTTAAAGTAATTATGAAATAAAATCAAGAAGAAGAAATTGAACTTCAACTAAACTAGATGATAAAAAAAGTGAAGCATGTCCAAATGTTAACTACCCAACTTCTAGATCAATGTTACACCAACGTTCAAATCTTAATTCAAAATAATGAAGTCGATTATTTTTTTTGTAATTATGAAGAAATAATGAAGTAGTTGTGATTGTAAATGTGGGTTGACCCAGTTAGTCAAGACAGTGAGCCCTCTACCTTGCACTCATGTTCGAATTTTCTCTTTATAAATTATATTAGCTTATACCATTGTTTCTATTTTTTTTAAAAGAAAAGAGTCACGTTTGATGTGCTTCCTTCTTTGTGTCCAGATGTACTCATGACTATTGGGCTTTGATGAAACTAGAGAACTTGTGCCAATTGTAGAATTTCGACCAACGCAAAAAATATTAAACGACCTAGTCCTTCTGTTCCTTTTAGCGTAGCCCAGTGTTACACTGACACTTGCTTCGAGAGTTTAATATTTTATCATTTTTCATCCAAACTTTTATAGGAATCCTGGTCCCACAAGGTTTAGACACCCTTAAGAAATGTTTGTCCTTATCTTTTCAATTTTAACAATCACATATCCCGATCTTTTAAATTTGTTATAATGTGATTCCGCCGTTAGGGTTTCTGTCATATCTCTTTGTTAGTTGCCTACGTGACACTGTGGGTCCCATATTTTTTAATTTTTTTTATTTTTAATTGATTAAAGTACGAATAAAATATTAAAAACCAAAATAAATAAAAAATTTCTCTCTCTCTCTCTCTCTCTCTCTCTGCGTTCTCCTGATCAAGCTCCAACACCCAACCTTTAAACCCATACCACAACCACCCTCCACCGCAGCGCAACCACCCAACGCCCCCTTCCCCCGTGACCACCGCCCTCCAACCCCTAACAAACCCAAAACCCTAACCTAGCAGCCACCCCTCCCCCGAAAAAAAAAAAAAAAAATTCCCTTTGTTGTTGAGAGACCACCCTAGCCTGCAACGAACCCCAGCATGTAACGAACCCAGAACCCAGCTCTCTCTCTTCTCCCTGCTCTCTACCCCATGACACCACCACTTGCAAACTATACCACACCCCACCCTGCAACCACATCCCCGCGAACCTAGAAACCCAGACTTGATTTCTTCTCCCTCCCCCAATTTCTACCCCCAACCCATATTTATTCTCTTCCCCTTACCCCCCCACTTCCCAAAAAAATTTCTTATCCCTACACAGATCTATTCTCCCCCACTCTCTCCGATTTCTTCTTTCCCCTCTCATCCCAGATTTTAATATGAATAAAATATTACAATATTAGAAAAAAATTAAAAATCAACGAAAATGGAAATGAACACCAAAACCCACAAACACCCACCTCTTATCTAATCTGTCCTCACCTCCCAATTCCTCTCTTCAGTTTGATCAGCGCACTCGCAAATATCTATGGGGCCTTATGGTTCCATCGTTTGCTCTGGCGTCAGCAGTAGCGCCAGCTCCTCGTCTTTCTCATGTGTCACCAAACCACTCGCCGAGATCAAAGGCTATTTGGCCGATGCCAGCTACAAGGTCCGCTCCTCCGACCTACGACATGTCACTCAGCCCCTCAAGCGCCTCGAGACCGTCATGGCCAACTCACCCAATGACCTCTCCTAGCTCGCCTCCAACGTCGTTCTCTACACACACACACACACACACACACACACACACACACACACAGAGAGAGAGAGAGAGATTTATTTATTTTAATTTATTTTTCAATTTTTTAATATTTTATTCATATTAAAATTTAAAAAATAAAAACAATTTGGGACCCATAGTACCACGTAGGTAACTAACGGAGAGATCTGACGGAAACTTAACGGTGGAACCACATTGTAACAAATTTAAAAGACCCGGGTATGTGATTGTTAAAATTGAAAGATAAGGACTGACATGTCTTAAAGGTGTAACCAAAGGGTACTAAATTGTAATTAACCCTAATTTTTACTATCCAAACCTGTATAGGAATCCTGGTGCAACACGGATTGCGAGTATTCACCCGAAAACACACGTGGCAACTTTTATTTTTAAATATTTTTCCATCCAAAAGGAATCCGGGTCTGGGGGCTTCAGTTGGCTTGGGAGTCTGGCTTTCGTGTTGTGGAGGTGGAAAGTGACTCAAGTGTGGCTGTGGCTCTTCTTTCTAGCTCTATTATTTCCACACACCCGTTGTTTAGCCTTATTAGTTGTTGCAAGATTAAGGTGCAAGCTGGTTGGAGATGTTCAATTAAGCATATCTTCAGAGAGCAGAATGTGGCGGCGGATGCTTTGGCTTCTAAGAGCTCTGAGTTTGGCCCTGGGGTGCAATATTTTACTGAGGTGCCTACCTTTCTTGTGACTTGTTTGGCTGAGGATGCTAGTGGGGTGTCTAGGTCCCGTGTTGTTCGTGAGTAGTCTGTTTGTTCTGGGCTTTTAGCCTCTCTTGTTACCCAAAAAAAAAATAAAAAAGGAATCCGGGTCCAACAAGGCGCGTCCTAGAAAAAAAAGAAAAAAAGAAAAAAAAAGGGAAAGTAGCGTTGATTTCAAGTCATCACAACCGAATAAACCGCGTCGACAGCCTATCCGTTACAACTTACACATCCACCGTCCATTATTTCCATCACCACTTAATCTTGGTCGTTCATCCCGATCCCCTTCCCTTATAAATACCCTTCGGCCGTTCTCACAATTCACCTTACTTTGCTGGTCCCTGAAAACAAGGGAGGTGGCGATCGGTTTCGGTTGGTGTAGATTGTCGGATTTGTTGTTTCGCTTCTTCTGTTTGGGTTTGATTCTTTGCTTTTGATATCGATGGATTAAGCTTTGTTATCGCTATGATTTAGGGTTTGGTGATGGATTTTGCTAACCGATTAAAATTTGGATCTAATGACCTTTGAAGGTTGTGACGATATAAAGAACCAGAGATTGTGTATATTTGCAGGCTTGTTTTATTGGTTCAGATGAGACCCAAACGACATCGTGGATCATGGTGAAGTAGGTGTTTGGTATGAAACTGCTATGAATTCGATTGGGATCTTCTCGTTGTTTTGTATAGATATAATTTGTTGATTTCAGGCTGAAGCTCATCTTTATTGATATGCTTATGAGTTTTGATTGGGATGATGAATGCCAGGGCATCGTGGATTCAGTACCTAGTTCTTCTTGCGTTTTGATTTGCACGAAAACCTCATCGATTTACCTTCTATGGGGGACCTTTGGCTTACCTCCTTTGATTTTGTTCTAAAGTTTGGAATATTTCCCTCGTTTTTTATCAATCAAATAAGCGGAGCTTTGCTGTTATTTTTCAGGCATCGTTTGCGGTGTTTGACACACGAGGGTTAGATGTTATGGTTAGCTGATAACTCCATAGGTTCTTATGGGATCTGATTGGATGGCTATGAGGTTGGATTTTATACTGTTTTGCGCTTGCAATGGAATGTTGAATTTCAAAATTGTCTATCTGGATGTATTGATTTGCAGCAGATTTAGTAGTAGTATTGCGGATGGCTCTGAGATTATGCCTGCACCCTTTTAGTCTTTGGATAGAGCGTAGTGCACTCCATTTGTAAAGGTTTTCATTGGTTTGCTGCACATGGATTATTGTTTTGGGTTACGTGCTTATTCTTTTACAGTTTGTCAAAATGCGCGTCTTTATATATCTTTCAAGTCCCTGAAATTTGTAAGTAATATCATGTTTATGTCCTCCTCCTTTTCCCTATAATCATGCCGAACTTTATGCTCTTACATTGACAGATACTAAATCCAGAATTCATGGGGTACATTGTTAACCTTCTTAGTTCTTCCGTTTCAATGTGATTCTAGTTTTTTAGGTATGTTCTAATCGGGTTTTTATGTCCTCAATTTTGGCTTTCTATTGATTATCTCAGTTGGAATGAAAGGCCTATTCTAATTTTGTCATATCTCAAAGATTAGTAATTCTTTTTTCGAAGATATAAAATTATTCAATGTTTTGATTACAGACCCGGAGTGTTTCTCACTTACCTCTTTATTGCCATGTCTTTGATCAATATATTTTGCTTTATGGTCTTTAAGCTATTAATAATTACAACCAAAAGTGGTTCGGCGCTTACCTTCTACTTTATGTTTTTTTGAAGTTTATTCATTTCTATGGTTGTCATTGCATGTATTTGGGCTTTGAATTTGTATAGAAGTGTGGTTAGGTATTGTTATGATGATTCATTAATTTTGTGGTTAAAGTGCTTATGGAGACTAAGTTGGATGGAGCTAAAAGTTTATGACACTGCTGTGGGGAGCTATTCTGGTTTGGTTAACATGTTAAATCTTTTTCTTTTAATTTTAATTTTTTTTTTTTATACAAGTCTCTCTTTTGCCCCAAAATTAATGTTAGGTACTATGTATTTTTCAGGTTTCTTATGTTGGTTTCGAATTGGCATACTAAGGGAGTTTTAATGCTGTTGCCTTTCGTTTACCATTTAACAAATTTATTAAATTTGGTACTGATATTTTAGTAATATCTTATGTAGATGCAACCTAATTCTCGTCTTAGGGACAAAGTTTCACCAGGGGGAACCGGTTTGAGAGCTCAAGGCCGGTGGTTTTGTTTGTTCACATTCCTTGGTTTCTTATTGGGAGTTTCACTAAAATACCCAAAATGGAGGCTGAAATTATAAAAATACCCAACACCCAAAACACTTTATAAACATACCCAAAACTCATCAATACACACACTCAAAACCCATTTATAAACATACCCAAAACCCATCATTACACACATACCCAAAACCCATTTTGGGTATGTTTCTATGTTTAAATAGTGCTTGGGTATTTTTATAAATACATGTCTAGGATTGGGTATTTTTATAAATATCTATTTCTTATTTTCGTTACTTGTTCAATATCGTGAATTTTGTGGTCTGTCTTTCCGTTGATGTCTTGCTCACATTATGTGTGCAGGAATTTGGTTTTAACGCCGCAGTTAATAAAGGAAGTGGAAATAGTTTATTGGGAGAACATGTTAAATCCTTTTTGTCTCAAGTTTTTTAAACTTTTGTACAAGTCTCTCTCTCTCTAATTCCCTTCTTAATTAATATTATGTATTTTTCAGGTTTCTTCTGTTGGGTTTGAATTGACTTGCTACCTAAGAGGGGGTTAATGTTGTTGCCTTTTGTTTCCCATTTCAAAAATGTATTACATTTGGTGCTGTTATTTTAGCAATATCTTATGTAGATGCATCCTAATTATTGTCTTAGGGACAAAGTTTCACCCGGGGGCACGGGTTTGAGGGCTTAACGCCGCTGGTTTTGTTTGTTCACCTTCTTTGGTTTCTTATTTCTGTTACACGTTCAATATCATGAATTCTGTGGTTGTTTTTTATTTCGTGTCATATGCAGATGCATTTCTTGCTTTAGTCCGGAGTATCAGGATTTTGAGTAGTTTTGCTGGAATTTGGTTTTAAAGGTTTACACTGCAGTTAGTTCTTGGCTTATAATTTGATTTCTTATTTCTTTGATGTCTGGAACAATTTGTTTATGCAGATTGCAAATCTTGTCTGTCGTTGGAATCTCACTCTACGTTGAATAAAAACAGGCTGCCTTAACCATAAGAGGGGTCTTTTATCTGATCTTTTTTATTCGTACCGTCTGTATAATGTGGGGCACATTGTCTGAGCTACATTTCTGCCTGCAGGCGTATCCTAACTCATGTCTATATATGGAGGTCTCACTTTCTCGAATGAGTTTGAAGAAAGGGTTTGAGTAGTTCTTGGCTTCTGAGTTATTATCTGATTTTATATTCTTGGAGCCTGTACGTCATCCTGAGACATTTTTTGCACAATGTCTTTATATGCAGACCATTACACTTGTCTTCTTGTGGGGTCTGATTCCTTGAAGTAGAACGAGCTGCTTTTAAGAAAGGGTTTGAGTTGTTCTCTGCTTATGCTGTAACTTCTTACATGAGCCATTATTTGAGTAATGTTTTCTTTTAGAGTTTGATGCATCTTGTGTATTGGTGAAGAGTTTATAAGATCTGGTACCATTGTTGGAGCAATATTCTATGCAGATGCAATTTAACTCGCCTGTGTATGGAGTCTTACTTTGTTTAAGGAGAGCAGGGGTGCTACTAAGTGAATTTCTTCGCCCTATTATTTGATTTGCTGGTCTTAAGAGATTTTGCACAATGTATTTGAGCAGCGTTTCTATATGCAGACACATCCTAACTCTTGTCTTGTACATGGAGTCCAACATTGTTGACGGAGAAGGGCTTCTTCCAAGAGGGGGTTTCTTCTCTTATTATCTATTTTCTATTCTGGAGAGTGTATGAGATCTTGGGCCATGATTTGCACCATTACTTTCCATTCTATGCAGATCATCTTGTCTGTATATGGGGTCCAAATTTGTTGAAGGAAATTTCTTTTAAGAGGGAGTTGAGTAGTATGGCCTTATGATTTAATTTGTTTATGAGATTCGACACTTTCGTTGGGCATTATTTTGTGCAGATACATCGTAGCTCTGGTCTGTTTCTGGATCTTTTTCCTTGGATGTTGGGCTTTGTTGATTTTTGTCTAGTGCTCTAATGTCTCAGTTTTTAAGGAGTTATGAGATGCATCCTTGTTCTTGTGTGTGAACAAGTGTAACTTAATTCATGACTGGACTAATTTCTTAAGGAGGTTATGCTGCGTCTGATCTTTGTTGTGGCTCTCTTTTTCGAGGAGGGTTTCTGCAGTTCAATTTAAACTTAATGTCAATTTTGAAACCTCAGGAACAGGTGTCATGCTGAGTTTTGTTTTCCGTTATGTATTCATTTCAGTATGTCATTGTCTCATGCAGATGCTCATTGCTCAAAGTCTTACTTGAGTTAAGTTGATGAGGATGAATTTTTGAGTGACAATCAGAACTTGTTGCACCTCGCCTGGTTTTTCATCCACTGCCTTCTTGTTTTCATGATACTTACAATTCTTTTCAAATGGTGATATGTTATGATGATGTCAATTTTTTTTGCGGTAGTTCATGGATTTTCCTGTGCAGAAGTTTTGTAGCTCGGAGTCTGTCTTGTATCTGCATTGATTCCTTGAGAAACAGTCTCCACAGTCGTTTCTTATTTGTTGTATTCTTTTATGGGGTTTATCGTTCATGGCTTGATAGTTCAACATATTCTTATGAATGGGTTCATTCTTTTCTTTAACTTAATTATATTCTCTCAAAATTTACTTTTATTTCTGTTTTTTAAAAGATAACTGATTACAGATTTTGAATTTCATGTAGGGGCCTCAAGATCCTTAATTTTTCATGACTCTGCACCTCTCCCATTCATTTCTATATTGTGCTGGTCTTTAATTAATTCACACATTTTAAGGTTTGGCAGATGCTTGTCTTTATTGGTATTGCTGTTTTTGTCTGTTTAAATGTCTATTTTGTCTGGTTGAAGGTGGATTCAATGCAGTCTGTGCAGCTTTGTGCAATACTTTGGCCATTCAGGGTTGGATATTCTTTGGTGCTTCTCTTTTTTTTACCCCTCTTCTTTGGCCTTTTCAGAAGGGCGCTTGTTAAGATATTTGGTCGTTCATTTGATATTTTTTTATGAGTGTATATGATCTGGCACCACCATTTGATCTCATGCAATGTGTTTGCAGTTGCATCCTAACTTGTCTTTTACTGGAGTCGCACTTTGTCAGAGCCTGGAACATCTCTTTTAAGAGGTGGTTTTACGTTTCTTTGCTTGCGATTTAGTTCTCTGTAGACCATAAATGTGGCATTTTTGAGCAAATGTATTATGCAAATTCATTTCGCGTCTTTTTTACTTGATTACATATTAACGGAATGGGTATTCAAGCAAACCAACGGAATAATGAATTTGGGCATGTGCGACAGTCAAGAGGAATGGGAGTTGCCTTTGCAGAGTGTACGTCTTTCCTTTTGGTCTTGTCATCATTGGAATGTGGACTGCTTATAGTGGTCTCCTGTTTTTTCTTGGCTTACCATTCTTCTTGGATATTTGGTCTGTACATTGTCAGCTTGCTCGTGAGGCTCGGTTGAATGGGGGATGCTTTTAAGAGGTGCTGGTACTTCTTGGCTTATGATTTATTTTTGTTAGATTTTATCAGATATGATTCGCGCAAAAAGTTTTGTGCAGCAACGTTTGTCTCTTAATGGAGTCCTAGGGTTTATAGGAGGGCATGCTGCCGATTGTTTTAAGAGGGAGTGGGAATGTGGTATGCAGATTGATGTCTTTGGATGCAGTGAAGTATCGTTGGACCGTAGAGCAGCACTTGCCCACAAATAAACTGAGTATGACTTTGATCTTTGTTGATGGAACTGTTCTTTGAGGGGTCGTGAGATTTGATTTTGTCGTTTACATAGTATCTTATTTCCAATTTGTATCGAAGTTTTATTCATTAATCTCGTTTTAGCCAAGGTTTACTCATCTTCAGGTTGACGGATTGATTTGTCAGCTAAAATGGATAGGATGACTTGTTTTCATTGTCTTTGGATTTCAGTGTTTCGATCTTAATTAGCTTATCTTCTATGTCTTGCTCAATTTTTCCAGAATATGGGCGGAGGGTTGAATCTTCCTTTAATTAAATTGCTTCTCTCAAAATCTCTTTTCATATATATAAAGTTTTCTCATGTACAGGTGCTAATATTCATATGTACCTTTTCGGATTTTATTGTGTTGGAGGTGGTGGTTTGTGCTCTGCTAAAGGGTTTGGCCTTTGTCTTAAACATAGTGACCTGTTGGCATCTTTTTGTTTGAGTGCCTGGTTTGCTTTTGCTGTTTTGTTGTGGCATATTACCATTTTTTCTTCCTGGCAGGCTAAAGTTGCTTAAGTTCGTGATGGGTCAGTATGTTGGATATTTGAAATTTCTGGGCAGAGTAGTCCATTGTAGAAGGTTGGGTTTATTTGCTTGAAGGGTGCTGTTCCATTTAGGTTACACATGGGGTTGTTTGACAAGTAAATGATCTGGCATAATTATATGGGTCGTGTTTTATGCAGAAGCAGTCTCATTCTTTGAGGGCTCTGTCTCAGATTCAATTTTATGCACAGAGCTGATAGAACTGTTTTTATAAACTGCTGATGGAAATGGATGTGGGATGAAGTGTGTTGTTTCCCTTACCTGTCTTCTTAGTTCCATCAGCTGATAGTCATACTTTTTCCTATAACTGTTCCTTTAAATTGCTTTTGTGTTCATTTGGGTGGCTTGATAGGATCTGTCGTTCATTTCTTCATTTGGTGCTTCTTATAGTCCAACTTACTGAACTTTGCAATCTGACACTGTTTCTATGATCAATTTGACATTTTAAAAGCATTTGAGTATTAATTAAATTGTTGTTTGTTGGTATCAAATTAGACATTTTGAACTTTGGTGTGTTTTTCATATTTATGTCCTTATTAGTTGCTGGGTGTGTCTCGTTTATTGGTTCAATAATGCTGTGGTCGAGCGTCATTCGACTATTCTGAGCTGGTTACAAAGAGATGATAGGGATGAGAGATTACATTTAATGTAATACTTATCTCTAATTTATGACTAAGTAATGAACTTACAAAGAGAACATATAATGTATTGAAAGAATGTAGTTCTGGTTTGTCATATTTGTTATATCGAAGTTGCTCTGTTTTTGCATAGAGGGTCGGAGTTCTTTAGACATCTGAATGTCTATCAATTGTATAATGTCAACTTCTTGGTAGCTTTTTCTCTTTTAGATTTGTTTGGCTTTTAGTATGATGGTTATGTGCATTGCTTTGTTTTTAGCTGCTGTCTGTTGTGTGTATTTGTGTTTAGTTAGTTAGGTTTAAAGGGATGTAGCTCAAAATGGTAGAGCTCTCAGCTTGTAACCTGTATGAACAAGTTACAACACTTACGAGAAGATCAAGGTTCAAATCCTTGCGTCCCTGCACATTAACATATTTGATAGTTTATGACCTGCCTGTGGATGGATTGAAAGAATCTAAACCCTTGCATGTGTATCTGTGGTTGCTGTTGATGTGCGGATGCTGTTGGTAGCTGACTAAAATGGTGGTTTGGATGATCTGTGGACTTGAGAACCTGAATTGGCTGATTTTTCCGTTTTACGACAAGATGTGGTTTATCATGTAAAAGCTTCAGAAAGCTCAAGTTTGTAATACGAATTATGTTATCTTCGAACTTGTTTGACGAGATATCAGTCTTTATGTCTCTTGATCTTCTAGTTGTAAGCCAACCTCTGCTTCTCTAATTCGTGTTTCTCATTTATTCATTTCATACACTTTCTCACGTACCACCTTCACATTTGTATCAAAAAGGAAACAAAATTACCTTAAGAGATAGGACTGTACAAGATACAAACCAATCCACCAAAACTGACTAATCCAATTCAGTTCAATTCAATTCAATTTTATTGGTGATAATAATATTGACGGATTGGATTGGATCCAAAAAATGAAAAAACTGATTGGATCGGTTTGGTTAGCGGATGGCAAATATTTGCATCTTGTACAGTCCAATCCGTCAATATTATTATCACCAGCACACTAACACAACTTTGTTGATATTCTTTGGAAAAATATATTAATATAGCATAAAACTTCTAGATTTCTAAGTTTTTGTGTTGACTTTAGTGTTTCTTTTTTAAAGGAATGAATGTAACTTGAACTCTAAATGCCGAAGGTCATGTTGTAGTGTTGTTTTCTAAAACTTATTTATGTCTATTTAGAACATACTTAATGGGATTTTCTATTGGATTGAATTCTATATGATTATCTTTGCAATTATCATACTTAATGGTATACTTAATGTACATTGGATTGGATTGGATCCTAACATCCGAACACATTGGATTGAATTGTAAAATCTCAAATCCATTAAAAAATTGGATTGAATTGATAAAAATTCATTGATTTCGAATTGATGTACACCCTATAATTTTCAATCTAATAAAAAAATTATATAGAAAACAAAATAAAAACAATTTTCAGTTAAAATACAGTTAATTCACCTCCTGAAATTTAACCATAATCCATTTTTCATTTGTTGGATTTTTTTATTATAATAATTTCACCATCCATTTTTTGTTCGTTGAGTTTTTTATTATAATAATTTCCCCAATTTTTTCGCAGATACATCTATGAAGTTCATGATTTGTTATAAAGGAAGTCTAGCTATTTATTAGAACCTTATTTCTAAATAATGATATTCAAGCTAGCTCCTCTTGGATTGTAAATAAAATGAAGTTACTGTTTAGAGCATTTCCACCCATTTGTCATGGCAAAAGGCAAGAGGAGGCAATAGTTGTTACTATTCACATGATGGTGTCTGCCTTAGCAATTTTTTTGTTGGTGTGAGAAGTGAAGAATTTGTATAGAGTTTTTGTTATTTAAATTGGCTTATGACGTCACAATGACATTAGTATTAGGTCAGCTTATCCAAACAGCAGCCCAGGCAAGTCTTGTCTTTGGGCTTATCCAGCTCTTACCTTGACAATATTTGGGTGTTGGAAACGGTATTGAGGGCCTAGGGGGGCTCTTGCCCATCCTAGGGGGAACTTTGAAAATGCTCTTATGGGAGGAGGAGAGAGGGGTAAGGGATGAAAAAAGTGTTTGTCATGGTGTATAGAACTTCCCTCCCGGACCTACCCCCAACCTAGAGTAGCAAGAGGGGAAGTAAAATTAATCCTTGTTGTAGGAAATGAGCCACTTCAAATAGGATTGAGAAGTTATGGAATTTTAGAAACAATGATGAGTGGCAAGGTGGTGGTGAAATAATGGGACAAGTGGGTGTATTCACCCATTGTTTAGTTTTTATTTTGTTTGTTCTTTGATACAAGCTATACTTGAGAAAACTTGGAACACATAACTTCATGTCTAGGTGTAGTAATCGTTTAGTCTTCTTTCATATAAACTCACCAACTTTTTGGTTGAGTCGTCGTTTTTTATATTATCTTGCACTACTTTTTCAAGAAAAGAAAACAATCATTTAAACAATGGATGTTTAAATTGAATCAGATGCAAGAATAGATTAAACTAACCAAAATAAAAGATATTATCAACATTTTCTTTTGGTACAAAATCTAACATGTTAAATCAAAGTCAGTTCCTAATTACGAAATCAGATTAATTGATTGCAAAATCTTTGAGTTAAGTTTTGTTAACAAATTTCTACCGTTTCACAAATAACTAATTTTATATAATTTCGTTTCGACCCGTACCCGATAATTTCCGGAGCCTCTAAATCCAAACTCGAAACTTCCGTACGCCAGCTTGACCAGAGAACAAGTGCACAATGCACGTATATTTTCGCATTTTCGTCGTGGACCTCTTTTTATCTTTCCATGTCTTTTTCATCCCAGAGTCTTTTATATGTACCATTAAATCACACCAGGCTCCGATTGAGACCCACAGAGTGTTTCACCGGCAATGGCGAAATCGAGCGCAGACGACCAGGAGCTGAGGCGAGCCTGCGAGGCCGCCATCGAAGGGACCAAGCAGAGCGTCGTGATGTCGATCCGTGTGGCCAAGAGCCGAGGGATCTGGGGAAAAACGCACAAGCTAGGCCGTGACATGGCTAAACCTAGGGTTCTCGCTCTTTCCGGTACGCAATCGTTTCTCTATTTCCGCATATCGTTTTCACTTTGAAGATTCTATCTCCGACCTGAGATGACTCGTTAGAGAAGTGCGTGCGTGGCATCTGGACTGAATTGTACGCTTTTTCTGAAATTTAGAAGAGAAATTTAGCTTTATTTCCAAGGGCATTTTGTTGAAAATCACAGTGCAGACTTCATTTTAACTTGTCTAATTGTTAGGGGGTTTCTCACTGTTTTGGAATGATTATAATATGACCGAATTAATATAGATAATCACGATGCGGTTGGATAGTAATGTGGTTGGGTGCGCAGACTGGACAATTTTAAGAAATATGTATTTGCCTTTGCCGGGACTACTATGATCGACGGATATATATTATTCACAAGAGTGCCCAAGATTAAAAGAATGGTGTTAAATCCTTTAAGCTCCATAAATTCCCATTAATATTGATTTGCTTCAAGACATAAGTTGGTCAATCTTACAGAGAACAATATCGTTTTTGGAACTTGCTGAATCATTTATATCCACTTTTGAAAGGGGAGTAACCAGAACTAGATTATCTACGATAATGTTTTGAACAATCTTGGTAAATTGTCATAAGAAGACTTCGAAGCATTGTTTTTGCACATATCTTCCGATTGGGAGGACAATTTTAGTTAAATCATTAAACAGAACTGCACAAGACATGTCAAGTATCTTAGATGGCAGTGGCACAGTAACGACTTTATCAGTAAGGTTAATTTGGAATTGTGTGCTAAATTCTAAGGGTTTGTCTACATATTTTGTAAAGCTTCACTAGAATAACATGAAGAGCCTGCTACTGTATCACTATGGTAGTCGGTACTACTAACTGAGGCCACCCTTTCTATTTGTTCTATAAGCTTCTATAATACTTGGTTGCACTCTAGATTGGCTGACAGTGATCCGATATCAAATGAAGGGGAAATAAAAGACTTTTCTTTTGAAGCATTAGGTCAGAGGGTGTGTACATGTATGCATAACTACAAATACCCACACAAGTATAAATATTCAATTGGATTGATCAGTGTAAGCACTTAGTGATAATTTTTATGTTACTGATGGCGACTGCCTTTTGTGGTTTGTGCAGTAAAATCCAAAGGCCAGAAGACTAAAGCCTTTCTTCGAGTCTTAAAATATTCCACTGGAGGAGTCCTTGAGGTAAAGTCCAGTGTGTTTATTCTTATTTTTCTATAGAATTAAGATTCTTTAGTTTTAGGGGGGGGGAAAAATTGGCAGTTGGTTTACAATTTGAAATGTAGTAGTTCTAGCTTTCATTTCTAGGCCTGCTGTGTGTAACGGTGCTTAGTGTTATCGTCTCTTGTATGTGTATGTGTAACGGTGTATGTGGCTTATCATTTATCATCTCATTTAATTCATGAGGACTATCTGATAAAGCTTTATACAATTTATGCGCAACTGATTTAGTCTTAATTGTTACAATTTTTCTAGTAAGACAACATAATTAATTTTAACAATGCAAATATAGAAGGAAAATAAATAAAGAAAACAGATCTGTGTGCTTGATTAGGGACTTGGCGTGATTACAATTTACAATTACTCATTAATTTTCTTTTACTGCAGCCTGCAAAGTTATACAAGCTAAAGCATCTTTCGAAGGTGGAGGTTTTAACAAACGACCCTAGTGGGTGTACTTTTACTCTGGTAAAGAAGATCCACCTTCCATATGCTTATGAAAAAATTGTACATTTATGTTGGGAATTCGTGCAAAGGAATAGAATTCTTGCAATTAAGAAAAACAAGAAACAATGTTTGAGAAAGATTGTTGTTCCATTTTCCATTTTGGTCTGACTGAATTTCTTATAGGGTTTTGATAATCTTAGGAGCCAGAGTGTTGCTCCTCCTCAATGGACCATGCGAAATATTGATGACAGGTATGCTATGGAGAACATGGGCCTCTTTTCAATGTTATCCTTTCCTTCAGTAAACAGACTGATAAGCTTTTGATTACTGATTATCATTCCTTTTTCTTTTCCTTTTTCTGTTTAAAAAAATCTATTGTGCAGGAACCGCCTTTTACTATGTATTTTGAACATATGCAAAGATGCATTGGGTCACCTTCCTAAAGTTGTTGGTATAGATGTTGTGGAGATGGCTCTTTGGGCTAAGGTGCATATGATGAATTTGTATTACTGTACTATTTTTAGAGTGTAGGATATTTATAATTGAAGATTTCACTTCCTTGCCAATCACTAATTGTGGGTACGACTTATTGATTTTTGTCAATGTTAATTTCTTTGTTGTTTTAGTTTTGAGAGAATTCTGTTATTATTTATTTTCGTA